ACGGGGAGAGCCATGGGGCTCCACTTCTGGCTCCTCCTCCTCCACCGCCACCTCCGATGACTCATGCTGAGATGATGGCAGAACTAATGGCTGCTCGCCGTGAATCAGCCCGTGCCATGGAGTTAATGGCACAAGCTGTCGCTGGCTTCGCCCACAGTGGTCACGGGGGCAATGGTGGGAACGGGGGTGGTGCCCACCGTCCTGAGGGACCCTCCTCTTACCAGGATTTCCTCAAGACCCACCCGCCCACTTTCACACCAACAAATGAGCCCCTAGATGCGGAGCAATGGCTTCGCATTCTGGAGCAGAAGTTTCTGTTGCTCAATGTGGCCGATGAGTAGAAAGTGTGCTTTGCAGCGTAGCAACTATTGGGGTCCGCAAGTGCATGGTGGGATATCTTCCATGCCATGCAGTAGCTAGATCATCCGACAACCTAGCAGGAGTTCACCACAGCATTTAGAGAGTTCTATATTCCTGCTGGTGTCATCAACCAGAAGCTGACTGAGTTCCTAGAGCTACGACAGGGGAGTGTGACAGTGATGGAGGCATCCATGTGGACACTGATGAGAAGAAGAAGGACTGCTTCTTTCGCTGCCTCTCTTATATCCTTTAGGAGAAGTTGTACACTACGAACTATCAGACTTTCAGGGCAATGATGAACGCTGCCATCGCCATGGAGGGCTTGCAGCGGGATTCCTAGGCAGAGTGGAAGAGGAAGCGGGTGGCTACGGGGTCTTCTAGCCACCCTCATACTCAGAAGGTATAGGTTGTCTGGCGAGGGCCCTATCAATCATCAGGCGGGCCTTCGTTTTGGTAGCCCCAGCAAACTTCTCAGACTTCTTCCACACAGTAGCATGCTCCCACGTAGTAGGTGCAGCCCCAGCAGCCTCAGGGACAGTAGGTCCCACCTCGCCAAGGGTTTGGAAACAAGCCGGACGCTTGCTTCAAATGTGGCAAAGATGGCCACTATGCCCGAGCATGTCCCCAGAACCAACCAGCTCAATCTGCTCAACCATTGGCGAACTCCAGACTAGTCAGGAGGACCATGATCAAGAGGAAAGTGCCCAGCAGATCCAGACAGGTACATTTCACAGATGCTGGGCAGATATTGCAGCAGGAACGGATGATGGCTGGTATGTTTACCATTGATTCCCATCCAACTTATGTGTTGTTCAATTCTGGTGCATCACATTCCTTTATGAGCATGGGATTTGTAGACCGGCACAACTTACCACTTATGGCTATACCGTATGCCTATAGAATCCGTACTGCGGGTTCACAAATATTCATCAATACCCGAACGGACACAGTAAGCTTGGTATTAGCCACCCACACTTACTGCCTACAGTTCATGGTAATGCCTGGGCAAGGCATTGTTGCTATTCTTGGAATGAACTAGTTGCGGGTGTATGGGGTAGTCTTTGATTTGAAGCGGAGAAGTGTCGAGTTACAGCTTCCTTCTTCTAAGGATAGGATGTCTCTACTTGTACCCTCAGACCCAGTCTTACCTGTTGCTGCCCATGCTGAAGCCTCTCCTGATCTTACCCCCATCCCTGTGGTATGTGAGTTCTCAGATGTTTTTCCTGAAGATCTTCCTAGGTTGCCACCAAATAGAGAGGTAGAATTCTCCATTGAGCTAGAGCCTGGTACTGCCCCCATCTCCAGACGCCCGTGCCGCATGGCTCCAAGGGAATTGGCTGAGATGAAGAAGCAACTAGAAGAGTTGATGGAAAAGGGTTTCATCCATCCTAGTTCTTCACCATGGGATTGCCCAGCCATTTTTGTGAAGAAGGATGGCACTCTGCGGATGTGTGTGGATTACTGCCCTCTTAATGCAGTTAAGAACAAGTATCGTTTGCCCTGCATAGATGCTTTGTTCGATCAGCTAGCTGGTGCCAAGGTGTTCTCAAAGATTGATCTCTGATCAGGCTATCATCAGATCAAGATTAGACCACATGATATACCAAAGACAACTTTTTCTACTAGGTATGGGCTGTATGAGTACCTAGTGATGTCTTTTGGTCTCACCAATGCTCCTACCTTCTTCATGTACCTGATGAATTCAGTCTTTATGCCGGAGCTGAACAAGTTTGTGGTAGTATTCATTGATGATATCCTAATATATTCCAAGAATGATAAAGAGCATGTCCAACACCTTCGGATAGTACTGGCTCGATTAAGGGAGCACAAGCTGTATGCTAAACTCAGCAAGTGCGAATTTTGGTTAGATCAAGTGCAGTTTTTGGGGCATGTGTTGACACCTGACGGCATTTCGGTAGATCCCAGCAAGGTGCAAGATGTGTTGGATTGGAAGTCTTCCAAGTCTGTGCATTAGATTCGTCAGTTACTTGGTCTCGCTGGGTACTATCGGCGTTTCATCCTGGATTTCCCCAAGATAGCCCAGCCAATGACCAAGATGCTCTAAAAAGAAGCTAAGTTTGATTGGAGCCCAGCTTGTGAAGCAGCCTTTCAAGCTCTGAAGACATTTCTGACCACTGCCCCTGTGTTGGCCCAATTAGATATTGACCGACCCTTTGATGTATATTGTGATGCCTCAAAGACGGGGCTAGGGTGTGTGCTTATGCAAGATGAGTGTGTGATAGCTTATGCTTCACGCCAACTGAAAAAGCACGAGGTGAATTACCCCACCCATGACTTAGAGCTGGTTGTTGTGGTCCACGCTCTGAAGATTTGGAGGCACTATCTATTGGACAACAAAGTGCATATCTTTACGGATCACAAGAGCCTCAAGTATATTTTCACTCAGTCTGAGCTGAATATGAGGCAAAGGAGATGGTTAAAATTGATAAAGGATTACAACTTGGAAGTCCATTATCATCCAGGAAAGGCTAATGTAGTAGTTGATGCTTTGAGCCAAAAGTCACATCAGGTTGAGGAAACACCCTTGTCTCTCAACCACGCAGAGGTGTTGGCTCACATTGCATTGACCTCAGAATTGCTAGAGCAGATTATTCGGGAGCAAAGGGAAGACCCCGAAGAAATTCCCCACATCGGAAAATTGATTGCCGAAGGGCGTGGCCCCTACTTTAGTGTTGATCAGCATGGACTAGTGAGATACAATGATAGACTGGTGGTTCCATTCAATGAGGAGCTGAGAAGAAAGATTTTGAATGAAGCTCACCATTCAAAGCTATCTATTCATCCTGGCAGCAACAAGATGTATCATGATCTGCGTCATTTGTACTGGTGGTCCAACATGAAATAGGACATCACACGACATGTCGCGGAGTGCGACACTTGTGGTAGGGTTAAAGCAGATCATATGCGTACTTTGGGATATTTGCAGCCCTTGCCAATTCCTGTTTGGAAGTGGGAAGATATTTCCATGGATTTTGTGGTGGGTTTGCCTTGCACATCCAAGGGCTATGATTCTATTTGGGTCATTGTGGACTGTCTCACTAAGTTGGCTCATTTCATCCCAGTGGACACCAAATATATAGCCAAGAAGTATGCAGAGATATATTTTGATCGGATTGTGACCTTACACAGAGTTCCCCTTACTATCATCTCCGATAGAGGTTCAATTTTTGTCTCCTGTTTCTAGGAGCAACTACTCCTGCATGGACATTCAATCCCTCACGAATTTGTTCTTTCTGTTGATAACGGCAAAGAAAAAAACTTGAGTTGGCTAGCTTTTCGTTTTAGTTTGATCAGAGTTTGGTATCGATGGCTAAGGTAATCCCCTCTCCAAATTTTCGACTGAGAACACATGCATCAAACCGGATCTTTAGAAGTGTTATTGATTCTATGATGAGTAATGTTTTACTTATTTCTGCGCCTCCAAGTAGTCCGATTTTTCCTCCATGATGATAAGGAGTTAAAAGATCAGCTCCTGCAATTGGGTCATTGGGATTACGAATTAGTTGTCTAATTGTCTTGTTGGCAATAATAGTATCTTGTACTTCAACCGGTGAAGGGGTTATTGATTTGTTCTTTAAAATCCTATGAATTTCGTTAGTCTATCGAGAATGCTTGAACATACTAAAAATTTATTGTGATAAGTTAGAGCTCGATGTCAGCTATGAGGAGATTACCTTTGAGAAAGTTCTCTTGGTACACGTGATTTCTCAAGAAATGTCTCTTGAAGAACAACACCTCTGCAGTATGCCATTTATAACTAACTGGCCTACTTTTCTTCCGTGGATCTAGTTTTGTTTTAAGTCAAATTATAGTAACTTTGACCAAATTTATAGAGAAGGGTATTCACATCTATCACATCCAAGAGGTATATGATAAAAGAAAATATTTCTCATAATGTATCCAGTTAAGCTCGCCATTTGAAGTCCTACGCATTTTTCTTCTTTTCTATAAATTCAGTCAAAGTTATTATAATTTGACTTAGGACAAAACTGGATCCCTAATATTTCATGACAGAGGGAGTACTAAACATTGATTTTCTCCCATAACGACTCTCAAATATGTTAAATACTTCCTTCTTCGTGAAATATAAGGTGCTCAAGCGATTTTCGGACAATATAAGAAGCCTGGCAAAAGATCACCTTGTCCCTCACTAATTAGGATGATGTAGTCAAGTTGTTATTTTCCTTGGTTATTGGTTGGCTGTTTTGTGTGATGTCAAGTTTAAAATAAATATCCATACTTTCTATCAAAAAAAAAGACAGAGAAGAGGGGAGGTGGAGGATACGGAATACCTTTTATTTTAGTACAAATTTTAAACTCTGGATCCATTATATTCCAAGATGGAAGGAGTAGAGTGGACAACATTATAAAGGGTATCATACATTAGGATTAACGAAATAACGAAAAAGTTGTAATTCTCACAGACCGAAAAATTATAATGGCATGATCTAATTAACACTTTTTAAAAATCTTTTTTAAAATTCTGGACGCATTCAAGCCAAGCAGGTCACAACACATTGACATTTATTCCGGTAAAATACATGTACCACCCTGTTGCTTCCTGGAAAGTGATGAACATATTTATACACAATTTCCTTGGGTCTGCCGGTCGCGTTACATTAGAGCTTGTTGGACTTGGCGAGGTAGACGACGGCTCCGGAGGTGGCCGCCGGGATGACGATGTCGTCGGAGATGGCCTTGAGGCCCGGGATGAACCTCTTGGTGAGGAGCGCGCACACCGGCACGCCGAAGAGGACGACGAGGATGTCGACGGCGGCCTTGCCGAAGGTGAAGCTGTCTATCTTGAGGATCGCCTTGGCGATGTTCTCGAATTCCTGCGCTTTCACGTTCGTCCCACTTCCCCTGTGGAACTTCTGCGTTTGGGGGAAAACACGGAGGAAAATGAATGAGAAGTCCGCTCTACTACTGTACGGCGCTGCTGTTTGCTTGAACACGACAAGCAAGTCGACAACGAGTTTCTCGGGTTTCGATTGCAAAGGAAAGGATTCCGCGAAACAAAACAAAATTGATTATGCTCTGAGCTAATGTAGGAAGCCACTGGTATTATTGGAGCAGTCGAAAAAGGGAGATACTTGTAATTGTACACAAGAAACCTAAGGATATTTCACATTGGCACAAAAGAATCACCCCTCACCTCGTACTTTTCCTTGAGCTCCTCTTTTGGTGGTATCCTGTACTGCAACTGCCCTCTCTCCTCGCAAAATTTTCTGAAGAGGAGTGTAAGAGAGAGAGAGAGAATGCATAAGAGCGATGGTATTATTGTTACGTATTCCCTCCGTTCTAAATTATAAGTCGTTACGAAAAAAAAGTCAAAGTGTTATAATTTGGAACAGAGGAGTATGCAATAGTATTTGATTGCACCATTTTTTGAACACCCGATGATCCAAACAATGAATGACTCCATGTGCTATCATCTTCTACACGAATGATCCATAATTGCTTATAATCTAGATTCAGGGCATGCTTAAGAATCATTACGAGAATTAGCATTACTCAAATAATCAGCTAACCACGCACATGTAGCTAAAATGTAATAAAACTGCATCACGTGCACAAACAAAGGGAGCAACGACAATACACAATTTCTGTCCAGTAATTAAGAGTCCAAGACGTATATCAAAACTTACTCGATAAGCTCGTAAATGGCGTGGTAGAACTCATCGAACTCCGTCACATACTTCACTTTGGCGTCGTAGTTCTTCCTCATGAATTCGATGAGCTCGTTTGCATCGCTGGATTTGTGCGCTTTCTTCGCGTCCTTCTTCTCGGGGGTCTTCTGCACTGCCTCCTCACCCCCTGCATGCCATTCAGAGCCACCAGTTTTTTTCATTCGCAATGCGTACGGCATTTCCATGGTGAATCGGTTGTGTATGGACTGCGTGTGTTTTGCCATACCTTGCTTCGCCTTGGCAGCTCCTTGGCCCATGGAGTCCCGACGAGTTCTTGTTACCACAATTCACAGTTGAAGTAGTTTGCCGTGCGTGCACATGCAGGCACGGCCACGAGGATATATATGTGTGTATAGGGAGGGGGCCGCAGTGACGTGCCTTGTGTGAGACAAAGGCAACGGCATCGCTCCGGCTGGACGCAAAGTCAGGTACGCATCATCAATCAACCAAGGAAAGGGCACAACACAAGAACGGCAGTGACTCTGGCCCAACGCAAGCATAGATTCCCTAGCTAGCACATGCCATACGTACACCATCAACAAACATTTCTGGGATTGGCAAGGAAACTAGATTTCCTTCAACCCCCCCGCCCCACACACGCACAAGCTTGCACCAAAAATAAATAAATAAACAACAGTCAAATCATACAACGAGGTCGATATTGCGCAGATAAAGACTAAAGCTTCAGTCCCAGTTCATTGCTGCAATAACATTCACTCAACCCCTATAAAGCCAAAAGGTATAACTTACTTTCAGCAATGACGATACAGGCTAACAAACTCTATGCTATACAATAAGTGAATCAGCCAATGTACTAACCAAGGGTCTGTTCTGCCAGACCCTAAGATCTTGCTGTTCTCAAACACACCATTTTCAGTAAGAACAAATACAATCGAAAAAATAATCATCATGGCCTCATGGTAAAGGATACCTCTACAAGCGCTTGACATACAGCGAAAAACAAGATGTTGGCAGATAATATCTTCTGCATATGGATTTGATCTTTGGCTGCTGCATCTTGTGTGGTGAGCCGGACATTATCCACCGTTTGGTTAGGTAGATACTGGCTTCAAGAGTCAAATACCAGTTACAAAATTGTGATGCTGCAGCAAGAAGAGCTGTGCTTCAGCCTTGATAGCATGCTCAGATTCTGCCAAGCGGTGACTCATCACTGTGCTCATCTACCAACCACAGCCCATGATCACGGAACCGTTTTATCTTCTTCTCAAACCCTGTGATGTAGTTATTATGTATAATGACATGCTTGCCCTTCGTCTGCTTGACCCATGTCTTATTCTTGAAATATAGGCCTCCGGTTGGAAATGCAGACTGAGGCAAGAGGTAAACATCAACCTGCAAGCATATCTTCTGTTAATAAATAGTTTTATAAAGGACACTATCGTTGAAGGAAAGATCCTAACCACATGAAAAAGGAACAGAAAGGAACCATGAGCTATATGTCAGATTGTTATGTACTATTCATTTAGTGTCCAAAGGACATGCATTAATATACTTTCAGAAACAAAAATTAATCTAAAAACGAGAACTAGAATGCAGCAAGGCTGTTGCCAGAAGACATACATCATTTTACTCAGACATTTAAAGAGACACTATGAAATACCGTACCTTAGAAGCTATTCCCAATGTTTACAGACAGTCCAATAATCTTAATAAAGCTGGTAGCTTGTTAAACATTATTTTCCATATGCATGTACAGAATATAATAAAATACAAAAATATTACAGTGGAACATTTTTAACTATATCCACTGTTCAGATTTCCATGTGAAACTTTTTTTTGGTATATATTAGTAGTCAAAGTTTTAGAAACTTGACTACATAAATTCTGAAAAAACATAATGCATCCATATGGAAAACAGTGGAAGTAGAAGCCTAAAACTAATGTCATGATGATCCAGTTACTCCATTGTAGCGTTAAGGGTTATCTAATCATATTTAAATACAATATATCTACTTGATACTGAGATCTGAGACAGACGAACAGAGATGCAACAGGCCTCACCAAAGTCCATTAATTATTTTAGACCTAAGGAAATATCATCCAATTGCAAAGAAGTCACTATATTCAGGGGAAATGTGCAGGTGTTGTTAAGAATGACAAATAAAATGTGGATGCATATACTGTAAAAATCTAGATGGTTTCATATTATTTACAGGCACAAATGTAATGTTACAAGTCACAAGTCCACCTTGCCCGTACATAATAGCACGAGGACATGTAGAGCCACCCAGAAAATACAGGCACATAGAAACAAAAATGAATGCCCATGTTGTAGAGGGAGATCTATATCCACAAATGCACTTACCATTACAGAAACTTTGAAAATCATAAAGTGCTGTGCCAAATAGTCAAAAACTAATTGTTTTTAAAAGAAAAAAAATATGTGTACTTTGTAAGAATGTTCTGGGAAATTTGGCAAGTAGTTTGTATTGTTTCAAAATTATTTTTTCTCGAACACGCAGGAGAGCTGCGTGTCATTGTATTAATAGAAGAAAAAGAGAGTCATACATAGACCCGAACCCCACACACCCACCCACCACTACATAGACACTGGATCACCGGTTAAGAAAGACAAAAAGACAACCCTACAGCAGTCCATTAGACTGATCCTCCAGAAGAGAGCAGGGAAATTCCCTTCGCTCCTGCTAGGCTCCACCAATGAGCCTCTTCCCTAGCCAGAGCCAGAGCCAAGTTAACATTTGGGGTTGCCCCATTAAAAACACAATCATTTCTATGTCGCCAGATGCTCCAGGCTCCCAAAATGACTAGGGAATTCAGACCCAACCTATAATCTCCACTAGCAGCACTATCAACTTTTCTCCACCAATTATCAAAGGATTGGTCAGAAGGTTGAGGAGCAAGTGCTGCAAAACCAAAGCGCGACAGGAGGGAGAACCAAAGTCTCTTGAGAATACACAGCCCACAAGAAGATGTTGAATGTCCTCCTCCTCTTGATCACATAGAAGGCACTGATCTGGATGAGGGAGCCCCCTCTTTGCCAATCTGTCCGCTGTCCAACATCTATTATGAGCGACAAGCCACATGAAAAAATTGCATTTGGGGGGGAGGGGGGGGCAGGATTTCCAGATTCTCTCATAAGGTTCAAAGAAGATTGCACCCTGAAAAAGCGTATCATAGGCGCTCTTTGCTGTATATTTTCCTGAAGTAGATAGCCTCCAGATGTGCTTATCAGGAATTTCCTCATTTAGCTCCACACCATTCAGGATATCCCAAAGTTCAAGATACTGAATCAAGGCAGTTGAACCGATCTCACCTTGTATGTCCTTCCCCAGTTAGTGCTTCCAACACAGTACGTCTACTTGACCTTTTAGGAACCAGTGCATATACCAGAGGTGCGATGTCCTGGATTCTTTTGCCATCTAACCATTTGTCCTCCCAAAAGAGTGTATTGGATCCATTTCCAACTTCAGTTATTACAGTCACAGAGATGAGGCCAGCTACCTCTCTACTGACTTGAATAGGTAGATTTGCCCACGGTTTGCTGGGCTCACTCCGCTTGAGCCACGGCCATCGTGCTTTTAAGGCGATACTCAAAGCAGTGGCGGAGCCAGGATTTCACAGCTGGGTATTCCGCGTACATAAAAATTTTCGATCTAAATGTGCAATAGTAATAAGCAAAGTACAAGGTCTAAACATAGTGGCATAGGTTCTTCAAATTTCTAAACCTTTCATCTCTACGCACATGAGAAATGTACATAGTGAGCCGATGTGAGTTTTGACAATTTATCTGACACTGTTGTGCTAGTGTGCTCACCTTGCTTCAACAACCTTCAAGGCTCAAGGCCTCAAGCAGCAAGCCGGAGCCGAACGTGTGGCCGTCATGGGCTGCCGGGAGGCGTCGGGCTCGCCGCCCGCCAGCCGGCTGGGACGCTAGGGTTGGGCGAATGGCGCGCCCACACCCGCCAAGAAGTCGCGTTCGCCGCTCGTGAAGCGCCAGGCAGGCAAGGGAAGGGCAATGGCCGAGGGGAGGGGGCTTGCGGCGCGCCGCCGCGGCGCCTGTGCCCGCAAGGCTCGCCGTCGCCGATGCCCGATGGGATCCCTTCCTTAAAATCACGCTCTCTGGCTATCTCGCGCGTTCCTCGCGCCTCCAGGCGAGATTGAGTGCGATCTGGCGGCGACCGAGAAATGGCTCGCTCTTTTTTTTTTACTTTGGTGGGTCGATAATCGGTGCTTTTGTTGGGCTTTGGGCTAGATTTGCAACATCTAGCAACTATACAAGTTATACCATTATACGTATACATATATGTATTTGTGTTTGTTTCAAAAATCTTGGGTATTCCATGGCATATGTGGAATACCCTGGCGCCATACCTGACTCAAAGCCTTCAGATCAACAATCCCAAGACCACCTAGTTCTCGGGAGCGGCACACTATAGGCCAGGCAATGAGACAGTGACCACCCTTTACCTCTTTTCGGCCTCTCCACAGGAAGGCCCTTCTGATCTTGTCAATGGCTTTGAAAGCCCAAGGTGGGTGCCATGGCCACATAAATCAGGATTCCTGTGAGAACATTCTGCACTTGAATAACTCTACCATTTCGGGTCATCAAATCAGCCTTCCACCCGTGAAGATGATCCGCAACATCAATGATGGGTTGGACCCGCTCCTTAGTCGACTTCTTGATGGTCGGGGGAGACCCAAATATTTGCAAGGGAAATCCAAGCATCTCACGAGGCAACAGATTATGAATGAGGGCCGATTTTCCTCAAAGACAATGGATTGGTAGCACATTACTTTTTTGAACATTGGTCCTAAGGGCGGATGCTTCACCAAATAAATCCGAAGAGTCAGTAAAGACAAATTGATATCTGTTGCATTAGGCTGAAGGAAAATGGCTACATAAATCAAGATATAAGGAGATTCTGTCTTTGGATAGGCCCTCATGGATAAAAAGGTGGCAGCCCAACTTCGTAAGCCCTTGTGAACATCTCGATTTAACACATCCATAACAAGAATAAAGAGCATAGGAGATAGTGGATCTCCTGTCTCGATCCCCCTTCGTGCAAAATACCTTCTCCGGGATGCCATTCAAGAGAACTTGGGTGGATGAAGATGATAAGAGGCCACAAATCATGTCACACCCAATGAGAACCGAAACCCAATTTTCTAAGCACCTCCAAAAGGAAGGCCCAAGACTTTGAGTCAAAAGCTTTGGTAATGTCAAACTTGAGGAGAATTGCAGGGCTGCTTTTGAGAGTGTAGGAATTTAACTGTCTCTTTGGACCATCATGAAATTATCTTGAATGAACCTTTTTGATGAAAACACTTTGATTGGAGGACACCATCTCATCAATTTAGACACGCAAGCCTATTAGCGAGATTTTGGTCACAAGTTTGGCGAAGTTGTGAACCAAGCTAATTGGCCTATAATCCTTGACTTGAACAAAGATTAGTCTTTTTGGAATCGAGTAATGTATCTGTAATTCAGTTTACGGAGGTTTACGAAATTTCAATTAAAGAAAATGAAGCTACTTTGCCATCACATCATTCTTGATAACTGTCCAAAGAACTTTTATAAAATGTGCGGGATCGGGGAAGGACGAGCCTGGTGCAAGCGGTAGAGTCTTCACTTTGTGGACCGGAAGGTCCGGGTTCGAAGTCATGGTCTCCTCGCATTGCACAGGCGAGGGTAAGATTTGCCACTAACACCCTTCCCCAGACCCCGCACAGAGCGGGAGCTCTCTGCACTGGGTACGCCCCCTTTTTTAAAGCTTCAAGATCAAAGCCGGGGCTGCCAAGGGTGTCCCGATTGATAGTTCTCCCTCTAGCGCACTCAGTCCCAATGAGATTGTCATAAAAATCTAGAACAGCAGATGCCTTATCCTCATGCTTTGTGATAACCTGATCTCCAACATGCAATTTGGGGATGAAATTCTTCTTTTTTCTATATCTTGCATGTTGATGAAAAAGCCTTGTGTTGGCATCCCCATCCTTTAGCCAATTTATCCTGGACCTGAGTCTTGATATTGTTCTCAGCAGGGAAGATAGCGCCAGTGAATGCTTCTTGAGATTATTACGTAGCCATAATTCATTAGGTTGAAGAGGCCTGCTTTCTTGAGCAATATCAAGCTGGTGGACAATTTCTTTTGCCAGAAGCAATTGGGACTTGAAGTGACCAATTTTCTTCTAACTCCAGCAATTGGCAGTTGCCTTGAGTTTCAAAGCAAGGGTATCAAGTGGACAGGTTCTACGTTGTACAGTGTCCCAAGCATCCTTCACTACTTCTAGAAAACCATCCAGAGAGAGCCAGAAAGCTTCGAAATGAAATCTTTTCTTGCAGCCAATGATATCCTGCAGCCCAAGGATCAGGGGGCAGTGGTCAGAGTCATTAGAAGCAGCACACTGCAGGAGACAACCTGGAAACTGATCTTCCCAATCCAGTGTACAGAACAATCTGTCCAACCGAACAAGAGTAGGGGAAGCATTAGTGAAGGAGCTGGTCCATGTATATTTACGTCCATGAAGAGGAATTTCAGAGACCCCCAAATCATTTATCCATCTTCTGAACCTTCCCATCATTGCTCTATTAAGATTGGAATTGTTTTTGTCCTCCTCCTTATAAATAAGATTGAAGTCCCCGACTACAAGCCATGGCCCAGAGCACTGGACTCTGAAATCCCTCAGCTCTTGAAGAAATTGGATCTTGTCTTGATCTTGTTGGGGGCCATATACACAGGTCAACCACCACGCACTACCATCAGACGGGCAGAATTGAACCGAGACACTGTGAGCATCCACCCTAGTAGCTCCAACAGTGCCCAGTTGAATCCGCCAAGCCACCAAAATTCCACCACTAGCTCCATCAGAAGGAAGGTAAATGAAATTATTATCAAATTCACTTCCTAACATGGACAGGACTAGACGCCTGGAAACCGTACTCATTTGAGTTTCTTGTAGGCAAACAACATCAATCTTGGAGGCATCCACCATGACTCTAACAGCATCCTGTCTCGCTGCTGAGTTCAAACCTCATACATTCCAATTTAGGATGTGTGCCGGATCCATAATGATACTGAGGAACAAAAGCGACCTGGAGGAGCAATCAGACAATACACTCTACCAAGTCAGCAGCAGAAACTGCCTCAGGGAGTGCCCATCCGAAAAGAACAGCCAGGGCCTTAGTGTGAGAAGTTGGCATAGGCTGCTTAAAGCGTTGCGCATAATAATCCAGGGCTTGCTGGCTAATGCGTTCCCCTTCTTCATCGACATTCATATCCAATGCACGCATGACTTGTTTCTTCAGATGTGAGGGGCATACCTCCGACGTTGTCGCGGGGAAGCCCGTAAGCCGACGACTCCGTCGGGGCTCCTTGCTAGGTGGCTCCAGCTTCTTCTTCCTTCATTTATTGACATGGGGAATTGGCATGATACCCCCCGGAATTTTTGTCAGAGCCTTGACGAACTCCGTTGCCGGGCTGGGAGGCGCACTGGGGGAAGCTTGGACGGCAACAGTTGAGTCTGCCGCCCTCTCTCTTCTACGAGGATGGCGGCGCGAGTAGACCAGTAAGGTCTGCTACAAAGCAGCAGCCGCCGGCAGGGCCACAGATGAGGAGTTCAAGGGGGTAGGAGCGGCAGTGGCCAGGAGTGGCAAGTTCGAGGAGGAAGTAGCAGCAGTGGCGGGGTGTGGCGATTTCGGGGAGGAGGGAGCTGCAGTGGAAGTGTGCGCCAAGCTAGCTGGCCGCGGTCGCAGGGAGGAGCAATCAGAGGACGGCGGCCGCGGGGAGGGAGACGAAGTCTCGGCCGGAGGCACAGAGACATGAGGCTCGATCAACATATCTGGGCCAGCAGAGGTGGGGGCGTTAGACTCAACCACCACATCGGCCTCGTTCAGTCCATCCAGGGAGGAGAGGGGAGGCGGCCCAGATGCCTCCAACTGAGGTCCCCCGGAGAGATCATCAGCCCGAGGCCCATTAGATTCTCCTCGTTCAGCAGGACGCATCGAAGGCCCATAGGAGAGTTGCAGAGGGATCTCAAACCGTGGCCTGTCATCAATCCGCCTGACATCAGTATCTCTTTTGCCTTCCACCGCCGTATCAGCGGCAACGCTCTCCTTAAACACATCTGCACACGTGCAGGAGCCCTCGAGCAACAGCCCCGCGATAACGGCATCGTCCGCAGTCACGGTCTCCTTGGTTCTAGTGCGGTCTGCATCGGAACCACGCGAAGCAACATCACGTCGCGAGGCCTCAGCAGACATGGCCGACCAATCATCAATGTCGAGCACGACAGTTGAGGAGGGATCCCCGGCCGCCTCATGGACTCGAGAGCCCAACCTTGCGTGGACCGAGGCCCTGCCAGCCTGGCCGGAGGACGTAGCTTCGCCCGGCGCCGCGGCCTAAGCCGGAGAAGACGACGGAGAAGAATGAGTCCTACGACACCGGCGATGATCACGATCTTCATCTTCAGGGGGGGGGGAGGGGGGATCATGGTATGCACCAGGCTCGACGAGGGGACGAACCGTGACCTTGATGGGGTAGGTTAACGTCCTCACGTCGGAACCACGCGCCAGAGGGGGCTCCACGATCTCCAGCGTCATCTCAGGGGGGAAGAGAGCGGGATCGGAGCACCAAGCCTTCACCATGAACACATCGCGTCGATCAGTATTGCCCGGGTGCAGTCCATCAATCCAGCAGAGCTCGTCCAAAAGAACTTCAGCGGTCGCCAAATTCCAAGCATGGGCAGGGATGCCCACGAGCTCAACTTCTACAGCCACCGGAAGGCTCGCCGCCAAGGCCTAGATAAACCTCGTCCATCGCATGACATGCAGCCGAGCAGAGGTGGTGACGATGGGGCGACCTCCATTGTAGACAATGCCATCAAGTTCCTCATTAGGCAAGATCAAGAGGAAACTGGACGGACCCCAGGGATGTAGGGTTAGTCGAGTTTCGTCGATCTCAAACCTAAGGGCAATCGTGGCACGTATGAGCTCTAACCCGCCGTCCCCAGGACCTCCTAGCCAGGTGATGACCAGAGCGCAACGCAAGGCATCCTCGCTGCGGGAGAGCCGATCCGACCAGTCGAGAATGCGTCTCGGGACGGCCGGAGCAGCAACGGCACCAGTCTGCGCAACCCCGACGATAGGCACCGGGAGGGGGTGGACAGGAACGTCTTCTTCCTCGCCGGTGTCATCACCCAGGAAAGCCGCACCCGCCATGGAACGCGCCCTCCACAATCGACGCCGCCGCTTACGCTTGTGCTCCTTGCCACCGCCCGAGGCCGAAGGTTGCGCGCCCGTTCCGCCACCCGTGGCAACCGGAGGCTACATGGCCGGCGGTCGCGACGACGCCGAGACTTTAGGACGCCAGACCAGCTGCCTACGGCCAGAAGGAGGGCGGGGACGCCGGGATGGGCAGGCGTCAGAGCGATGCCCCAGACCCCGGCAAGCAAAGCACCTCGGACGGGAACGGCAGGACGCGGCCTTGTGAGCGGTGGATAGGCAGTTGAAGCAGCGCCCACGAAGATCCGCCAGGACTGGCCGTCGAGGGGGGAGCGCCCGCCAACGGCGCTCGCGGTGGCGACGTCGACTTTCCTTGGTTACCCAACCATCCCGGTCAGGGGCAGCCGTCCCGGCAGGACGAACGCGATGGTCGCACGGCCTGAGGATAATCCGAGCAGGCGCGCGAGGAGGAGCCGTAGCCGCGGACGAGGCAACCGGCGAGGCGGCAGCCTCAGTCGGGGCTGCATGAGCAGGCGAGCCGCCACCGCCCAAAAGGACATCCTTGAAAGAGAGGACCTCCTCAGAGGAGGATCCGGAAGACGGGGAGGCGTCTCTCCACCGCTGGCCCTTGGAGCGCCCGACCGTGGCACCGGGGGTAGAGAGGAAGGTTCCCTCAGGCGCTAGAGAGGGAGAGGATTGGGTGGTCGCCGCGCCCGGAGTAGGCTGAGGCGAGCGGCTAGTGGAGCTAGGGGACGGGGTGACGTCGGGAGGTTGAGGGGGAGGGGGAGCGGGAGCGACGGAAGCCATCCCCTTGTTTCAAAATTAGGCCCAACAAGTCTTTCACATTAGTTCAAGGTGAAAACAATGGTTTCAATTTCCTCCTGTTCATAAACAAACAACAGAGCAAGGTCATATGCATTTAAGACTAGAATGGATCGATTAAGCTCATATCATTCACTCATCCTGCGCAACGGCACAACCTAATATCAAAGTAGGCTGGTTATGCTAGATCATAAATCGCAAACTCAAATGCACGATGAGTCACGTGTTTGCACACTCACGCGATCCCTCCATGCGCCACTGCCGGAGAAGAAGGGTCCTGGGTTAGGGTTCCCAATCACCGGCGACTCTAGAAGGGGGTCGGGGGAGGCAGCCACGATACGACAGGGGGCTGCGGCCTCACGGTGTGGCGAGGTCGCTGCTGGAGCCACGGGCGATGGGAGGGCAGTGGGCGGGCTGGCGGTGGGGGCGGCGCAGGGCGAGTGGTTGCTGGTTAACCTGTGATTAGGGAGGGTAGGGTCGAGGAGACGAGAGGCGGGAGGGGCCGCCAACCGCCGATGGTGGAACAGAGGAGAGGCGCACGAGGGAGGCGGGGAAGATGATAGGGAGAGGGGTCGCGCGCTACCTGAAGTTGCGGCGGGTCGCGTGTTAACCTCCACATCCCAAATCGGCTCCAAACAGTGAAGTTCACAGTTTTTTTAAAAAAAAAACTCGACCTGCGGGAAAAGAGCGCTCCCTGTGGCATTGGATTAAGAAACTTCTCTGTGTGCAGGCCAAGAAACAACCCGAAGGCCAGCTGCCCTGGACGTGCCACCGAGTGCCCAGGACACATGCTTGAGGCCATGTGGTTACACGTATAGCTTAGGAGCAGACGATGAGGGGTGCTCCCACGAGGAGTCAAACTCAGGACCTAAGGTGCAACTAAGGTTCCAGTGACCATTAGGCTACACCGCTACATACTAGTTCACAGATAAGCCCTGCCCCGGCACCCCAATGATGGCACAGGCCCAATGGTGCTGAAACATCCCCATCACAGGCAATGTGTGTTTTGCTCTTTCATTTAGCATTATGAATATAAAAAATTAACCGCACAACTAAAGCAAATCACTAATTTGTTCAATCAAAAGTTGATAACTAAGATCTATTACCCTAAGGTGTGTCACAGTCTATGGTGCTAGGATGTTCTTTGGCATGTCTCCTTGCATTGTAAGAGAAGAAATCTAGGAGAAACAAACCTGCCCAGCAGTCTTGTTCAAAGCCCAGTTGAATGCTGGCTGATCATTTGACTTCCTCTGCTTCGACCAAGGCTGCTCCTTAAGCTCCACGATCCACTTCCTTAACAGGAGCTTGGCACCTTCAGTTGGCCTGAGGAAAATCATGCAGCTGCAAATATAAGTCCGCCCTTTCTTCCCCGGTGGTGGCAGCTCATGTGAATGATCAAGTGGTTTCACCTGCAATGCAATCCACACTTCCCCAGTAAGCTATCTTCCAACCAAACCCCCAATTGAAAACGCAGCAACGACACATACATACAGGAGTCATATCGTCCATGAAGTACACGTCGTGATTCTCGACGACGTAAGGGAACGGGTCGGCAAGCCACACCATGTCAACATCGTTGTACATGACGCTGTACCCAAGCTCAAGAATCTGCAGCAGGTGCCGTGGCCGGCGCGAGGTGAAGTTGAAGAAACCCTGTAGTCACAGACGGAAAAAGATAGCTGCAGTTACGCATGGAGACACAGACATTTCATCGAACAGTTTGAGCGGTGGATTCCTCCTCACCTGGGATCCAAATTTGTGGGCGGTCTGGGCATCGGGCGCGGGGGGCACAAGGACGGCGTGTCCTGGCCAGGCGGCATTGATGCGGTCGAGGGTTTCGTAGTCCTCGGCGATAACGAGCACCTGATCCGCGCGGCCGGCGCGACGGACGCTGATGAGCCAATTGGAGAGGAAGGGGAGGTACGGTCCGGAGACAGCGGCGAGGAGCACGGTGCCGTTTCCCGCTGCGGCGGCGAAGGCGGCGGCCTCCTGGAGGGTGTAGGAGCGCCACGGGGGCGAGGGAGGGCGCGCTGCTGGACCCCAGGGGAGGAGGAGGGCAGCGAAGAGGAGAACCGCAAGGAGGGAGAAGAGGTAGGGGGAGTGTGAGGAGGTGGTGCGGGCGGGAGGGGCGGTGGCGGCGGTGGGGGAGGAGACGGGAGAGAGTCGCCCGCTGCCGGCAGCTTCTGGTGCGGCCGCTGGTGGAGCGACATTGCCGAACGCCGGAGACCGGTGTAGCCTTTCGGGGGAGGGGGGGGGGGTCAGGAGTGTGGAGTAGTGCTACTGTAGAGTAGTCACGCGGCGTTGGTCGGTGATCTGGATCGTGGCCGGGAAAGAGCGACGGCCGACGGCGCGTGGCTGATTGGGCTCGAGCGGTAACGCCGTGACGGTGGGGGTAACACGATAGATAGGTATTGTTAGCACTGCCTTGGCTTGTTTTAGTTGTGCAAATCAATACCTTCATAAAAAAATGCTCAAAAAAATACCTTCGTAAAAAAAATACAGTTTTCGGTTTTCGAGAAGTTAAATAATTTAAACTTTAATTAAATGTTTATGATACAAAATAGGTACCATTAGATTAATGATGGAAAATATTTTTAGTGTAAATTTTATTAAAGACACCAATGTTAATACTATTTCTTTTAAATTTGATCAAACTTAAATTAGTTTGTGTGGCATATAGTTACATTCTTTTGTGGATGGAGATAGACAGACAGTAGCATCTTACTTTCGCTTTTATCTGTGGCATCCAATATGACTCGATAGACACCGGTTGCCAACGAGAGTTATCTTTTCGAACAGTGGAACCAAAATTTAGATATAGGGGGCTATTCAAACCGATAACTATCATGCATGATGTAATATATACACGACAAGAACAGATCCATACGTAACAATCAAATGGCCGTTTATGTTACAATGCAAACAAAAACTTAAAAAAAAAGAACACCGAATATTATACTAAAAAGGGAGCAAAATTAATTAGCTCTAGGTTTCTAACTTTCATTTGATCAATCTAATTCTTAGGCTAGAAAAAGAATCATGGTAATAACAGGAACAAAGGAGATAAGGAAGATAACAGGAAAATTGATCCTAAATAATATAAATGTCAATGGAGATCATTTCTGAGGGAGCAAACCAGTAAAGTACTAATACAATTAACTAGCTAATTAATGAACCTTGGGGATGAACTAGATATTTTTAGGCATAAAACAAAGAACAGAAGAGATAGAGAAAATATAGGAAGGTCTAATTATGTGGGATACTATTATATACTAGTATAGAGCGAGGACAAGGAATCAAAATACAAGTAGGATTATTAACTAGTTAATTGGACTATTAAGTAGTTAATTGAGGAGATGCAATGTGAAGAGCATAGAAAGTTGGAGGTGTCAGCGCCCGAATCCCTTCCCTCCGCCACTGTTTGGCAACAGGGCGTGTGTTATGGGCATTTTAAGTTTGGTTGGCATTGATAGATGTGTAGGAATATGTATGACACTTGTTTTTTCATATAAATATGATAAATTATTAATTTGATTAGTGCTAGATTTCCCATCCTTTTCCCTATTTATATGGTTTCTACAAGAGTAATATTACTTTTTTGCATCCAAACACAAGTAATACTAACCAAAATCACCATGTATCAAGCACCACAATAAACACAGTGACAAATAGAAGCCTTAGTGCTTGTTTGGTAGCGATTCATGGAGAACTTTAGAAGTTGTTTTGTGTGCAGGTATACAAATGACTAAAAAGGAATCTGCTTCTCGCGAGGATCTTCGCAAAACACGTTGAGACAATGTGCAGCCCTAGCTTCCACCGCTCCCCGCGACATGCCTATGATGAGTGTATGTATACTTTTGCTCATAGATATAACCAAACTTACAAGGACAACCACCCTCTCCCCTCGCCTCCAACCTTATGCTGCAGATGAAAAGATCTTGTTTGGTTTGGGTAATTGAGTGACAACCTAGGTGGACTAATATATGATTATATTGAGATACACAGGTGATTAGTCCACAAGTACACTAGTGTGAGCAACTTGAGTCATGTTGGTGAAGTGGCTTGGATTTGTTGCAAAGCTCAACTAGGTGTGATGAAGGAGCTCATTGCATATGAGACATAACATGATGTCATGTGACTAGGTGGAGAAGATCAAGAGATATGGCTTGGCTATGATGGATCGGGTTGCAAATGTGAAGGGTAAGTCAGAGGCTTTGGAGCGACGGACCGCACGTGGCGGAGAAGCTTGAGCAAGGACTTGGTGTCGATGGACCGAGGCAACGGTGAAGAGCAAGTGAAGTTGCAATCGATGAACCAATAAGGCCATATGATGACATGACGTGGATCATATCATTCAAAACAGATCAAGCCAAGTGTTGATGATCAAGTGGCTTGATGAAGAATGATAGAGGAACTTCATGCTATGAGCAATGATCAAAGGTAGCGTGGTTAGCTACACGCCAAAATCATGTATGACATCGTCCAAGGTATATTGTTCTTCTTGCAACGTAGTGTTGTCATCTCCTACAAAAAAAATGTACACGGTGTGCTAATTGTTGGTAAATTGATTATGAAACCTTTTCACGTGGACAATTATTGTTGCAAACATTACTTGGACATGAGGGAAATAATCACCAACATGCAGGTTTTCTTGGTCTTCTTTGTGTGGGTCATTTAAATCAAATGGATGGCCAGTGTTGTCACCTAGTACAGAAGGAAGCTGATAATTATGAAACTACATTGTCACCCACACATGTGAGTTATCCCCTCTCACTGCAATTTAATTTTGAAATGAAGCAAATATGTTGCAGGCCTTACACAAAGAATTCACTAATCTTGTTTGCAATTTTATGAGAGAGGGACTAAATCAGTTGATACTATTTTTAGGACACTGGTTGATACTAATTTTACAACAGAGAGAGGACTGCAAAAGAGTTTCAAACACTAAAAATCCCAGATGTTGCTCATGATTTTAGTACAGAGAAACTAAACTAGCACTTACTAATTTAGGGGAGAGATAGATAGACTAGAGAGAACATCTGCTAGACATAAGATTATCAAACTTTTTCACATGGACGATTATTGTTGCAAAGATGACTTGAACCTCAGGGAAATAATCACCTGCATGCAGGTTTTCTTAGTTTTCTTCCTACGGATCATTTAAATCAAATGGATGGCCAATATTGTCACCTCGTACATAAAGCTGATGATTATGAGAATGCATTGTCACCCACACATGTGAGTTAATCCTCTCACTACAATTTAATTATGAACTTGAAGCAAATATGAGCTGCATGCCTTATGCCAAAAAAAACACTAATGTTGCTTGCAATTTTATTTGAGATAGATTAAACCAGTTGATATTGATTTTAGCATAGAGAGAGGATAAGGATCCATGCTGTAAAAGAGTTTTAGGTAAGAGATAAACACTAGAAATTCTCAGATGTTGCTAGTGATTTTAGTAGAGAGGAACTAAACCAACACATACTAATTTGTGATTTGAGAGAGAGAGGCTAGATAGAACACCTGTTGTTGCTTGTGTTTTATAGGAGAGAGAAATAAATAAGCACAACTAGCTTTAGGAGAGAGAGAGGATAGAGAGAATTAGAACCAGCACCACTCCCACTCAATTTTTGACAGAAATAGATGTGCTTACCTTGATGAATTTCTTCTTGTTCATCATTCTCATCAGGATAGACACCAAAGTGGTCAGCTCCCCCAACTTCAAATGCAGTCACTTGAAAGGTCTTAAATGGCTAGAGGGGGGTGAATAGCCTATTAAATTTTTCTACAAATTCACTAGAGCACAAGGTTAGTAACCTAAATGGCGAAATGCAATTTTGCTCTAGCTCTACAAGGGTTGCAAGCCACCTATACCAATAATTATAGTTGCTATGATCTCTAGGTTCACACAAAGGCTATGTCACTACTCTCTAAGCTAGTGAGCTCTCAAGGACTAACTAAAAAGCCTCACTAACTAAACTAACAAGCTCTCAAAGACTATCTACACTAAAGAGCTTGACTAGGCAAGAAAGTAATCAATGTAAATACAAGAGAGAGTAGAGTGATTATACCGCCATGGCAAGAGTGATGAACCAATCAATGAATACCAACTCAATCACCGGGAGAAATCCAATGCACAAGAGACAATTAATTTTTCTCCCAAGGTTCACGTGCTTGCCGGAACGCTAGTCCCCGTTGTGTCGACCAACACTTGGTGGTTCGATGGCTAATAGGTATCACACACCTAGCCAACACTTGGCATGGCAAGAACCTACCCATAAGTGAGGTAACTCAATGACATGAGCAATCCACTAGAGTTACCTTTCGATGCTCCACCGGGGAAGGCACAAGACCCCTCATAATCACCGGGAGATGGCCACGAATAATCACCAACTCATGCCAATGCTCCTCCACTGCTCCAAGCCATCTAGGTGGCGGCAACCACCAAGAGTAACAAGAACTCCATAGCCACAACGATCCCCAAGTGCCACTAGATGCAATCACTCAAGCAAATGCACTAGGAATCACTTCCAATCTCACTATGATGATGAATCAATGATGCAGATGAGAGGGAGGTATTTGCTTAGACTCACAAGGATGTCAAGAATGTCAAAGTGCCAAGCGAGTGAGCCCTAAGCCGGCCACCACCT